ACGCTGAGTGACGGCAGATGGTAGGAGGCAGAAGCAGATGAACAGCGGAGGGAGAGGAGGCAACAGGTGGGGTTTTCTCAGCGATCAAAGCTCTGTCAGGTGATTGGCGGTGGCAGCTGAGAAGTAAATGAAGAAGACGAGGGACAAAAGAAAGGGTGTTAACAGTGAGGTGGGGTAATCTCTACCTGAATAGATGAACAGAGTTACCAATAGAGATGAAGCAAAGCCAAATTAGAGACCTTTGAGAAAATAGAACCAAAAAAGCACATCTATAGTTCAGTAGTAATTTGTAGTAGTCCGAGTATAAGCAGACTTGTCTTAAGGTTTTTATTTGGATATTCTCTATATACTTATGAAATGCTTTACCTGACACTGAATGAGAGAAGGACTCATGCATCTCGGATTTATAATGCAACACGCACATCTGTGCCTTTTGTACATTAGTAATAAAACTCAGACTCAGCATTTGCAGTTTTCTGATTGTCCTTATGATACCCTTTATTAGCTCTCCATCAAGGATGTGGTATGATTCAGGGAAGAACCCATTTAATTTTGGTGCAGAAATTTTATTTCACTTTCTATAACATAGCAATATTTGGCGTATTTAGGTAAGTGGTGCAGCTTGATTGAATTTAAGATGACCGTTGTCTGATGCCTTAATGGGTGTATGCACGCATCAAGTTTCATATGAATTAATGTGACACCACCACTTTATGATGAAAACGAACACATGCATTAAGTCCCTTTACATTCAAATCATAATGTGTAAATTTGAAAATGTTCTTGTTCATTATGTCTGATACATCTCACAAGCAAAACAAATGTTGTCTTCTCTTCAGCTCACTCCACCTCATATCCTCATGTAGATGTTTAAGGTATGGGGGGGCGTATAGGCTACAGGCAGTCGCTGTAAACTTTGGTGGCAGAACGATGACCTGGTTTTGGGGGGCTTCCTCCTCACCACAGGGGTCCCAGCTGAGAGGGGGCCTAATCCAGCTAATCCTTTTGTCTGCGCGCACACACACACACACACACACACAGAGCAAAGGTTTTGTGTAGCCACATGCACAACAGTATATTCATCATGCTTTCACAAGGTCCCCACAGATGAATCAGTGGTCCCTTTAACTGCTTGTATGTTGAAATATAAGTAATAAATCAGGCTTGTGTTGTCTGTGGTGAAAGTCGCAGGGGCCTCGAATTGATTCTCGGCCTGCTAATGGGAGGGAAGTCATTTTTAATATCTATTCATCGCTTGTTACGCTTTGCAAATATTTCCCTGCAGAGATGCTGTCCTTACTCTTTCTGTCAGGTGTTCAATTGTATGTACGTTATTAGCAAGGTGTGTGCGAGTTGTTTGCCATCGGTGGATCTGTGTTTTCAGTGAAAGTGCGAGATGCTTCCGTCGTCAGGCGTAAGAGATGTGCGGGGGGGTGGGGTGTTATGTATCGCATGGAAAAGAGAAGAGAGAGTTGGCGAGGGAAGAGGGGGGGCGGGCTGGCTTTGACAGAGAGGCCGGGCTGATTGCCATCATGATCTGGCCAATCACAGAGGAGAGCTGAATAGACCAAAGAGAGAAAATGAGAGAATAAAGGGGAGGGGGGGAGTTCAGAATTGAAAGGAGGGAAGGGGGTGATGTCAGTTCCTTAGAAACCTACTTTCTCTCCCTGGGTCCCCGCCGCCTCCCGTTCCCTTACTTTGAGAATAGGGGGGACCAGGGGTTAATGTTATGCAACATGCTGAATACCCACACTGAGGGCTCCAATACAGTGACACACATTGGCCTTCTTCTTCTAGCCCACTTCTATGTCTCTTTGGAGTATTTCTACTTCTTTTACTTCTTCTATTCCTTCTTTTTCTACTTTTTCTTCTTCCTCTTCTACGTCTTTGTCATCTACTTTTTCCCTCGTACTTCTCCTTCTTATACCTCTTTGACTTGTGGTTAGACCTTGACTCTTTCTTCTGCTCCCTCTTCTACTTATTATACTTCTTCCAATACTTTCTCTCCTTCATCCTCAGCTCCTACTTCTACATTTTCCGTCTTTGCTTCTGCCTTTCTTCTTGTTCTTAAAAGTTCTTCTTCCACGTCAACTCCTTCTTCTTCTTCCTCTACTCCTGCACCTTGTACTTGTACTTCTATGTCTTCTTCTACTCCTACCCCTGCTCTTCCTTCTTCTCCCTCATACTTCTTCTTTTCATACTTCCTTCTTGTACTTCTTCATCATCTTATACTTGTGTCAGGCTTAAGCTGGCATTGAAACATACATACATGCAAATAAAAAACATTGAATAACACTTATGAGTTGTATGTGTAACAAAGATTACTGATAGAAGCCAGAGTCTGTCTATATGACCAATTAAATAGCGGATTCAGGGCTTCATATACCAACCATATCTATAATCGAACAACCAATTATTGTTCCAATGAACTGATAATTCAGTTGGTCTATGATGCATCAAAAAATAATCATAAAGTAAAGTATCCTCAGCCCAAATTTGAACATTTCTGGCCATTGATCAGAGTAATGCGTAAGTTACTGCGCTCAGGTAACATCACACAGGCTTTGTCGAAAAGAAGAATCAGATAAATGTTCTGTTGAATGAGGTGACGGTGGTGAAGGTTGGACATTGCATTTTAAAGTCAGTGACACTTTGTCTTAGGTCACAGCAGCTGAGCCCGGAGCGGGACACCTTCAAGATATCAACACATGCCGGGGTCAACCAGTTTTCTTAGGAGAAGGAATATGGGAATATGTGTCATTGAAGAAACACAGCTGTGTGTACACACACACACACACACACACACACGTACACACTCGCGTATATTTTCTCGGTCCAGCTGGGGTGTTAATTTCACCCCGAGGCTGTGTGAGTGTTGACCCCAAAACGCTGTAACCTCGTGAAGTGTGGAATTCTCCAGGCCTGACGCCGTAATGTGCTGTTTCCTGTAGAGAGAGAGTGCATTCCTTTGACTTGTCCCATTCCTCGCTACTCGCTGTACACTTCAGGTCTTTGGGTGGCAGCCCGCAACTTGGAGAGAAAACACAAGCATGGCCCTCCCGCGCTTTTTCAATCAGACCTTTCCTCATCTCCTCACTGGTGAGGCTGAAAATAGCAAACCTCTTTACCTGTGATCCCATGTTTCTGCTATGACACTGCGATTAAATTCAGCCCCGGGGCAACCGTTGCCTCCGAGCGTTGAGTGTGCCAGACAAGTCGACTTGTTAGTGCACTGTCAGCGTGCGTCGGATCTAAATCAGTTCCATGCGTGCTCCTTTTTGAAGGGAGTGCTGGTGTAATGTAGCTGTGTATCTGGCCTGGCAGTAGAAAGCATGTCGCTCCAGTTAGCCCGGGCCTGCTATTAATGATGAGTATTATAAACATGCCTTCAGACAGGATCAGATGGTAATGCTGTTTGGGTCCAGAAAAAAAGAAATCAAGTGTGTTTTCCTAATGCCCCGAGACATGACCCCCTCCCTTGCCGTTCCATTGGTCTGACTGGGTGGTCCAGCCCAGCAGAACAGGCATGCTTATGTTCAACTTTAATGCCATTACAATGGGCTGAGAAATATACAATCTATGCCTGCTGTTGCATGAATCGAACAGAATTGTTAAATTGGATTAAGTTGTGATAAAAGGTTACAGATTTTTCACACAGTTAGCCATCGCATTGGGCATTTTTGAGCTAGTAAAGGAAGAAGAAGAAGAAGGTGCAGTCACTGATGATGGGAAGGTCAAATAATTTGCTGGTAAATACATAGACTGAACTAAGGGATGCAGACACACACACACACACTCACACACACATCTCAGGCTTAATCAAGTCTGATACATGTAAAAGAAAAAAACAAATCACACACTTTTATTTTGCTTATAAAATTTGTGGACCACTTTTTTGTCGTCAATTTGACTGAATGTTTAAAGCATTGCTCACGGTATCTTGAGTGTGTGTGTGAGCGACAGAGACTTTGCCAGACTTGCCTTCCCTGTGCTGGGGTGGAGCAGGGCAGCTAAAGGGCCTGAAAGGCTGCTTTTGTAGCTCAGGCTAGCTGAGAGCTTAGAGCGCACGCACAGGGCTTAGTCCCACCACGATACTGGGAGCAAAGCCTGGAAGAGAGCCTCTCTCTCTTTATCAGACACACAGTCACACACACATGCAGTCAATGTGGTCTGGAGCTGCGGACTTGTTAGCAAATTTGAGTCGAAGCGTTGAGCTGATTCTGTGAAATGTGGATTTGTTGAAGTGATGTTCCATGTCTGGATTCAGAGGGGTTGGGATGTTTGGCATCGCACTGGTACGAGCTCCCTGTAAGCAACATGCCTTTGTGTCAGATACAAGTCTGATAAAGTTGTGGCCAGGCTGAGATGTATTTAGGTTTGGATCCAAAGGATCACGTCTTGAGTCACAGATGTTTAAGCACATGATGCTGCGTGTGCGTGTGTGTGTGTGTGTGTGGTCATCTTGTGGAAAAAAAAACTGTATGAAAAGAGTTAGGAAAGGTTAAATACTTTATATTTGTATTTGTTATATGGGGTAATGATAGTATGATGTCGACTAGACACCTACATCCTGCATCAGTGCTGTCTTTACATTAAGGACCATCATGGACGTTGATATGTGTAGCCCTGGTGTCTGTTCTCAACATCTCTTAATGTATGAAACAAACTAAACTTAACCGAATATTTTTTTCAAAACCAACCTAAAATAGTTTAATAATGTTTTGAATTCACTTAAATACTTAGAAGGACTTAGGGGCATGTTTTTCCTAATTCCCCTTTCACGTTGCATTACTGATCTGTTACTAAAGATTTTCTCAACACCTCTGTGAGTCTTCAGTGTCTTCTTGTAGTGGAATCAACCTTTGGATGCAAAGGGACATGGATGTTAAAATCAGTTTACTTCTTATGTAAAAAGTTGAAAATTATTGACAACATCGAAAGTGATTGTGTTTAAATATGTGCACAGAGGGTTCAAATGTGCAAATGTTTTCTTTGTCCAGTTGGCGGGCGTGTGAACCAGGAACTGAGGTACACGCGGCAGAAGATCGGCGAAGAATCCATGTTTAACCCTCAGTTGATGATCCAGACGCCGCGGGAGGAGGGAGCCAGCGTACTAACGGTGGACGCGCTCCTGCAGCACCTGGAGTCAGCGATGCGAGCCAGCAGAGTTCATGTTTACCTTTATAACAGGTGACATGAGTTTATGCTTCTTGTTTATCTGAATTTAAGCCTCATGTTTTCCTGCTCTGGACAGTTCCTCACAAATATGTCTCAAAGTCAAATAAGTGTGCAGCAAATGTGTGAAGCTTATAATAATAATTTTCTGTGGACACTGTGTCAAAGATACCACATTGGTTGGCTTATATTATTATTTATATTGCATTCCATTCTATTATATTATCAGCTGCTTGTCCATCTCATTCACTGTATGTGCATGTATGCAGAGTATACAGATACACAACATGTGTATCAGGTGTGTTCAGTACTTCATGATGATAGATTTATTAAAATCTTTTGAAATTCTTGTCTGATGGGCTCTGAGTCTTAAATTTGACAGAACAGAAACTAAACAGAAACTCTTGTTCTCCTTTCAGACCATGGAAATTAGAAAATTTATGCTACAAATCAGGAGAACTTGTCACGGAAACTCATTTTATGGCTCAGGTAAGATGCATTTTAGTATTCAAACTCGTTGAATATGGAATTTTTCCACATCCACTAATGTGTGTCTCTTTTGTTGATCCAATTAGATCATAGAAAATCTACATCCCTGCCTCATCATCACCCCTCTGGACTGTTTCTGGGAGGGATCCAAGCTCCATTCTGGGATAGTCTATCTCCCGTAAGTCGGCAAAACACCTTTCTACCATATAAAATCATTACTTTATGATGTGTCCGCACAGTCACAACATACCAACACAGCATTTCATTCAATTATCCAATTTCTTTCAAGCATTAAGTCAAATGATGAAATCAGGAACATGTAGGTTTTTCCTAGGCTTGTTGTCAAACTGACTAAAATGACGTGTGGGGACAGTAAGATCTTAAACACTGAGCTCATGTGTGCTTATGGAATATAGTGTATATGGTAACAGTATCATGTATTTTCACATTGCTTTCAAGAGAGAGGGAGTGAGAAGCTGGAACTCTTAAGTCTTGTTTTTACCCCTTAAGTAGAAGCTACCCAAACACGCTCAACCCGTCCAAAGAGACACCACAGATGAACAAGTTTGTGTGTGTGTGTCCTGAACTCGTCCCCTCTGAAGGCTCTATTGTAGTGGTTGCTGGCATGCGTATCGCTGGCGATAGTTTCTCTCCAGCCCTGGGCCTCACATCATTGTCTGGCCCTTCTGTTGCTAATGGCCTGCTGCTACAGTAATACTCAGCAGACCTGTACCTCTGCATGTGTGTGTGTGTGTGTGTGTGTGTGTGTGCGTGTGTGTGTGTGTGACATTGCCATCACTGCACACTCATGTTATTTCGATGTGTAAAAGTGCATCAGCTTGGTTCACTGTCATTAAAGTATGTGGATATACGTGTGTGTGTGTGCACGCGCGTGTGTGCACGCGCGTGTGTGTGTTGCCCCCGTTGGTCTCGGATGGAAGATAAGGTTTTTACTATGTTCTGGTTGGGAGGCTGGGAATAATAACCCAAGCCTGGTTAAGCACATACAATGTAGTCTGAATGACACAGAGAGAGAGAGATTCAGAGAAAGAGAGATTGGAATGTGTGAGGCAGAGAGAGCATAGAGGGACAACGACCAGTTTGGGGCTGGAATTTAGCACTGTGCCATATTGCATGATGGGAATTGGTCTCCATTTATTGCTTTTTGTCACCTAGCATGAAAGAGATTATTTTCTGCTCTCAGAAATTGGACTGGAGGGAAAGTCGGGGGGTAAATGTGGGTTGATAAGTGCAACCGACACTTCAACACATTATGCCCCTTCACTGTCTGTCCCTGCTTACAAAGCTGTTATCAGCTGGAGTGTCTAATGAAACAAGTGGGTAGCAAACAACACAAACTGTCCAGAAAACTGATAAAAGTGACATTTGTTTGGGATCTTTTTTGTTGGTTGTGATAACTATACCAATCATGGTAAACATCAACTTCACAAACCAGTCGAAAGTAGAAATTAAATGGTTTGAAAATGTAATTTATTTTATTTTTACTTTTATTATTGTTATTATAACAGTGGATTCTAGCAGCTCTCCTGCCATCGCTGCCTGTCCCAATGCTTTTACAACATAAAACAGATCAATGTTGCTGCGCCTGTGCTTAGAGACTTGCTATTATGGTGATACTGGACAGTATCAAGCAAATCACTACGGTCATCACGGTAACTAATGATTAAAATGGTTTCAATTTATCTTAAAACTATTTCATCCCTAATCAAAACCACTTCCAGGTGGTGACCAAAACTGATCAGAGCTGGATGGATGGTAGCTAAAAGTACAAATACACATCCTTGGAGTCATGGTTAAACTTTCTTCCTATTTACTTTTAACTGTGCAGAGGTAAAGACCCTCTTCAGTGGACCAACTTTGACCCTAAAGACTTCCTTGAAGACTTGCGAAGGGAAAATTTCCCCGTGGAAGCTTTTGAGGATATGTTGGAAAAGGCAGACGTGGGACACGGCTACATGGATAGACCCTGTCTGAACCCTGCTGACCCCGACTGCCCCCTCACCGCACCCAACAAGAACTCCACTAAGGTAGGCACGCATGCATGCTCAAGTTTTTAACTGGGAATACGCATGTTAAAATATGAAACATAAATGTTTTAGTAAAACAAAATATAATCAGCTGCTGACAGTTACACTATTTTCTGGCGTGCTGCGTTTATTGCTCCAGCCGTTGGATGTGGCGCGGGCCCTGAACGGTGGCTGCCATGGTCTGTCCAGGAAGTACATGCACTGGCAGGAGGAACTGATCGTAGGAGGGACCACCAAGAACGGCAGTGGACCCCTGCTCAGGTAACATACCCACACTTGCACATGCACACCCTCATAAACACTGCTGCCATCGCTGCAGCGCTTATTCTGGAGTGTGTGTGTTTTTGTTCTTTTACACTCTCCGAAACTGCACATGCATGCATGCGTGTGCGCCGTGTGCTGTAAATCTTGCACTCATTAGCAGATTCCAGTGAAATCTTAGAGCTCCAGCTGTTCCTGCTCAGCTTTGGCTGCTCTGCTTGGACAGTGCCCACTCACACACACACACACACTCACACACACACACACACACACACTCACACACACAGACACATATGCCCAGAGTGATCTATTGCCTGCCTAGTTTGTCCAAATATACAATGATTTCAGGTAAATGATCTTAATTCCAGCATAAGCACCAAGACAAAGCTTTAAGATTATATGGTTTACCTATGGTCATGTAGTATACTCAGGTTTATGTGTGCAATAACCTCTATATCCTCCATACAGAACACCTACATTCAGTCAGTTACTGTATTATACATGTTTTTTATAAAAATATACACGTAATAAAGTAATAGGAGGCTTCCTTTAACAGAGGAAAGCAGACCAAATTATCCAATATTTTAGTAACGGACCATTTATTTTAATGTTAAAATGCAGTTGGATGGTGCATACACACATACATGTACACACATACACACACAATGACACACATTCTGGTCACAGAGTACAGTGGGGTGCGTTGTTTGTTTTGTGGTCGTGTTTTTTCCTGGCAAGGTTGGGTCATTAGGGTGTCTGTGCGTGCCTGCCTGCCTGCGTGTGTGTGTGCGGTTTAGTGGCTCCGTCCACTGGGCTGTTACTGCTGGCAATAAATTTCTACATCTTGTTTACTAACTGCCACCATTACCGTGATTATCACAATATTACAGAGATTACATTCATAAAGAGAACGAGCAGCTAACGTCTGCTCCTGTGGTTCGTAAAATTTGATGATTGGAAAATAGGTAGACTGACTTAACCACTGTTCTTCAGCTGCACTCACGTCCAGAGTCATTAGTTAATGACTAATCAGTTGCGTTGCTTAATGCCGTCCTAATGTGCACAAGAAGGCTGTGAATTCCTCACTGCACTCGACACCATGAGCTTGGGAAACATTCGGAACAAGATCAGGAACCTCACAGATCCGAATCGGACACTTATTTTATGGGATCTGTCTCTTCCTATGTCACTATCAATTTCAGTCAGTAATCTTTTTTTGTCAGTACATATTCTGGTGTGGATATTACTGGATAATATATAAGTGAATAGGGAAATGTAAGGTCCGCGTCTCTAGGCACTGTATTCTGGTTTAGGTTTGTGATGGGGTTGAAGACAGAAAATGAATCACTAATATTGTTAATAATAGACTAGAAAGCTGAAGTCCGGACATACGCCCAAAATTTTCTAGACGGGCTGAATGTGTGAATGCAAACATTTTCTGGAACTAGAACCAGCCCCCTTGTAGAATGACCAGAAAATGAGCCCATGTGAGAACACAGCAGGACAATGTCAAGAAAATTGTACAGTACATGTAGAAGACGCCGGCAAAGATGTAATCTTGGAAAGGCAATGAGATTCCAGAGTTTTTGGAGATAAGGGCAGACAAAAACGCAGCAGGTGAAACTGAACTGGACAATCTCCTGCTACATTCTTCATGTGAAAGCAAAAATGTTTTTCGGATTGCATGTCCAAAAAAAAAATATTATCCTGAAGTTGTGATATATATTTCCTCATTCAATGTTCTATAGCTGCAAATCATTGTTTGTATGATTATTGGATGTATAAAACAACAATTATAATATGTCACTTTGGGACTTAATAATTAATGCCGCAATCAGAAAAGTCAAAATACGTATTTTGTTGCCTAATTATGATTATTTCTAATCTCTCTAACATGTGGATATTTCTGCTGCGCAGTGTCTGGCAAATGGAGCACGTTTCATGGCTGTGGGCAAATTTATTCAGGGACCAACATTCAAATCAGATGGAACAATATTATGCTTAAGCAGCAGGTGGTCTTAACACACCACTGTTTATGATGACTGTTCTCCAATGTGCTCCAGATGATGTGGTTTTGATGAATTTCGTTTTTCCTTCTTGGTTAAATTAGAGCCCTCTCTGTACTGGGACCTCTGGTTTAGAAATTAAACTCCATTTTTAGTTTCTGGTCTTCATGGAGGATTAATATTCTGGTGTTATTCCATTCCTCCCTGCTTCTCTCATCCCCCTGTTGGTTTTGTGTTCCTCATGGACGTTCCCAAGTAAAATTGATGTTGTCTTGCACCTCATCTAATCCTCTTTTTTTTTGTTCCCCCTCTTTTTCCTCCCTTTTCCCATCTTCCCAGTGCCCAGGCCTTGCAGACCATGTTCCAGCTGATGACTCCCAAGCAGATGTTCGAGCACTTTCGGGGCTACGAAGAGGTTTCCCACATCAACTGGAACGAGGAGAAGGCAGCAGCCATATTGGAAGCCTGGCAGCGAAAATACTCTGAGGTGAGGGGGCCAACAAAGAAAGAGAAAGAAAACGGGGGGGTGGGGATCTGCCCTAAATCCTCTACAACCACACTGTAAATCACTGGCCGGATACAGGTGAACATGGAAAGGCCCCATCCAAAACCTGGGCCCCTGATAGATACTAGAACCACTGTTGGTGTGTGGTAAAGGGCTGAAGCTTCTCTCTCACTGCTCAGTAGAGAGGAGCGACAGAGCAACATGGAGAGCATGTCTGGAATACATTAACAGAGAGCTGGATATCTCTCTCTCTCTCCTCTCTCTCTCTCTTTCTCGTACTCGCATACAGACGCACATGCAAACGCGCTCAAAAGTTCACACACAATCGCTTTCCCAGCTGTGGCCCCATTGGTGGCTCACGTGTGACATCATCTGGTCTTTGTTTTGAGGGCCCCAACCTCTGTTCGACATGGTGTGACCTTGTGTGTGTGTGTGTGTGAGCGTATATGTGTGTGTGAATACAAATGCGTGTGTGCGCACCATTTATCTTGGGGCCCATGAGTCGCTGATAGAAAAGAGTTGTGATGGTTCAGATACAGAGTTTTTTTTCATCAATGGCAGTTGAGGTAAAGAAGTAAAAGAAGCCAAAGCATTTGTGTGTGTGTTTGTGTTATGAAAGATTTGGCATGTCTGCAATATTATGTGCTTGCATATCGGTGATTGACACGTGCTTACATGGGTGTAAGCGTGTGTGTGTGTGTGATGTAGCGTGCGTTCTCTAATGTGTGTCAGCCAGCTTTTCTCCCCACTGAGCAGTTACTACAGTTCAATGTTGAAGCCATCTGTCTGCCCCCAGATAGTGCGAGAGAGAGAAGATGGGTCATGGTTCTCTGTAAATTCTACTGAAAACCTCCCACAATGGAACAACACAAGCAGATCCAACACACTCTACCACAAATCAGATGTTTGCAGAAAAAGAATCAGAATCATCAGAATAAAGTCATAGTACTACGAGAATAAGTCGTAATTTTAGGCTACATGTCATGTTAGAAGGGAATATCAGAAGATCAGCCTGTCGCCTGTGTTAAAACGCAGAATGTGGATTTATACGTTGTATAGGTTTCAGGAATAACGTAATACTCGGACTCCACACAAACACCAGCAATAGGCCGTACAACAATTACAGCAATCATCACGTCCATACAGAGTTGGTAGAATACAACTGTTAAACACATTTTGTGGGATGTATTTTATTAAGTTATAATTTAGTCCATCTTTGTTCTTTGCATTCCAAAGGTTTTTCCATCACTGTTTCTTTTTGTCTCCGTCTCCAGGCGGTGCTGCAGAGCGTGGCAGCAAATTCGTCTCAGAAGGTCTTGTCTTTCACCACAACCACTCTGGAAGATATTCTCAAGTCCTTCTCTGACGTTAGCGTCATCCGCGTGGCCAGTGGATACCTGCTGATGGTGAGAATGCAGCTTTCTAACTGGGAAAAAAATACGAGACTTCTACAGTATATATCTCTATTATATCTGAGAAATGCATCAGATAAAAGATGGAAGTAAAAGGTCCTTTATAAAGATTTAAACACACATGTTGATTAATAAACAAATTCTACATTTGCTCTTGGTGTCCAGCTGGCCTATGCGTGTCTGACCATGCTGCGGTGGGACTGTGCCAAGTCTCAGGGCGCTGTGGGGCTGGCGGGCGTCCTGCTGGTGACACTGTCGGTCGCAGCAGGCCTGGGCCTCTGCTCTCTGCTTGGCATCTCCTTCAATGCTGCAACCACGCAGGTAAATCACAAGCACGCCACAGGACAGGTCATTTGCTTAAGTCAAGACCGACTGAAGATTCACAGTTAAAACAATAATTCTGAATTTATTTTAATTACATAGAACTTTTCAAAGTGTTTTACAAATTAAAAACCAGCCAGGTGGCTTTGCGTGAATTTTCCCAGTCGGGAATTTGTTTTCCGATTATTACCACATCACATGAAGGCACAAGTTCACAGGATCTGGATATTTTTCAGTCGTAATTTATGGTTAGAATCCAAAACTAAGTTACTCTTTGCGGTGTGCTCATGCAGTTTGTTTGTGTGTGTGTGCTACAGGTGCTGCCCTTCTTGGCTCTGGGAGTAGGAGTGGATGACGTCTTCCTCCTCGCTCACGCCTTCAGTGAAACTGGACAGAACAAGAGGATCCCGTTCGAGGTGAGACAAACACCCACACACTCGCCCTCTCCTCCTCACCATGTTCCTGCCCCTCTGCTATCTTATCTCCTCCATTGAGGAATGTGTGAAAGCCTGTCTGTGCCTGTGATGTAGCATCAAACAACCCATGTGCGCCACACACACACACGCGCTTATCTAATCTCCACATTTATTCCTTTCTCTGAAAACTGAACAGCAACCATTCCAGTCTGTATTAAATCATTTGCATTTGTCTTCAAATCTTCTGGTTTCTATTCTTTGACTGTAGCTTTATCATAAATCATAAAGTTTCTTTCATAATTTGAGCTAACGATCCAGCTCTCTGAATTTTTGTGGTCTGCTTCACACCCACACACACAGACGCATACACAAACACACACACACATACAGGATAAATATTACACAAATAATCAGTAATGGTTCTGAAATACATGTCAGATGAGAATAAGTAGTTTAATAAAATGAGATGAAGTATTTTTGTATTGTCATCAAGTTAAACGCAAGTATTCCAAATGACACAATAAAGCAAATAAAGTGCAACCATGTGAGTGTGTGTGCCTGTGTGTGTTGTGTGGGGATAACATTTCATCTCCAGAGGGGGAAAACACAGGCATGTATTTGCTTGTTTTTGTTTTCCCCAGCCTCCCTCCCCCCTTCCTGCCCTCGTCTCCCTTATCCCCTCAGCTTCCTTTGTGTGGCTGAGATGAAAACTAAACAGAGCTGAACCTGATCTCTCCTGTCTGACACACACACACACACACACACACACACACACACACACACACACACACACACACACACACACACACACTCTAAGATGCACACTCCTGCAAACACTTCCTGTGTGGTCCTGCACGTCCTCAAATCTTCATACAGTCACCGCTAAACCTTTCAGGGGTGTGTGCATACTTATCTCTACTATTTATTGTCAGAAATAGGTAAAAGAACTTGTTCAGCCACGATTAGTTCACTAAAAATTGATTTATTTTGAGAGGTAGCAGGTCATTTTACTGTCTCTTTCTTTTCCTCCCCTCTTCACACTCTTGTAGACAGGCCCAGGTGGATTATCCAAGTCCTTCAGGGCGTCAAGAAACATTGCGATCACTGTCAGTCATATCAGTATTATGATAATTGGACATAATGTCAAGTGCTACATGTTTTGCCTTTGGCTAAACTCTGATCAAAGAGCAGAGTTTCGTCAATTTGCTTTCATCTGCCTCCCTCTGTGTCTCCTTCAGGACCGTACGGGGGAGTGTCTGAAGAGGACCGGGGCCAGCGTGGCCCTCACCTCCATCAGTAACGTCACAGCATTCTTCATGGCAGCCCTCATCCCCATCCCAGCGCTGCGAGCCTTTTCTCTGCAGGTATATGCCTGATAGTCAGTGAGCATGTGTGTGTGTGTGTGTGTGTGCGAGTGTGTGTGCGCGTGTGAAGTGTGTGTACATTTGTGAGAGTGGGTTCAGCTGTGTGGGGCCTCTCTCCCTCACACTAATAGTCCTGTTCCAGTCCTCATTGGCTCCAGATTTCTTCAGACCGTAGTTTTATTGATTTCATTCATCAAACTGTAAGTGTGTGTGTGTGTGTGTGTGTGTGTGTGTTGTGTGCATGTGTGTGTGGGGAGGAGTGTGTGTTTTGTTAAGTCCATCCAGCCCTCTTCCTCCCTCTCCCGTTTTTGGAGGCTGTTTAGTGGTGGGCCCGGTGTCTGTCCAGATTGTGGCTGAGGTCCATGTAACTGAATCCCTCTGCTTGTGTGCTTGTGTGTGTGTGTGTGTGTGTGTGTGTGTGTGTGTGTGTGTGCTTCCATATCCTCATGCACATATGTATGTGTGAGTTTGGAGAGTTGTAGTATCTGTGTGGGAGGTTTGAAAAGCAATGGTCAAGCTTTGTGTGTGTGTGTGTGTGTGTGTGTGTGTGTGAAGGTGGGGGGGATCCAGAGGGTAGCTCTGACTTTGCTCACATCTGTCAGTAATTATAGACGTCACCAGAACAGTGAAAACTGGGACAGAGTGAGACGTCTGTCAGTCTGACAAAATGCCTTCAACATTCACTCATTTGTTAATTCATGCAAACGCTCAGCCCCACTGATTCACACCGTACAGAAAGATAATTAACATCAATACAAACAAATAAAGGCGGAATGAGAAATGAGCATGGTGATTGGGTCAGTGTTGGATTTATATTGTTTGGTTTAGGCCAATTGGGATATGTCTGTAGATTCTTTACTCAGGGAGGGTGTTGCCATCATATTGAATCCTCTGCCTGCTGTATTCATATTTGTTTTAATGCTTTTCTTAAAAAGTGTTATGCCTTTTTCTCCAGTTAGATTTCTCTCAACCTCCTGCTGCTGCATTTAATGTAAAGTATGTGTAGGTGTGCAGCACAGTGTCAGTTCCCAGCACAGTGTGACTGAAACACATGGTTATTGTTCATTATTCCGTGATTCCAGACAAGTGTAGCGAAAAAATCATCCCAGCCAGCGTGCAGACCCAAATATCACTTTTGTTTTTTCTGTCTGAACACAGTCCGGTCCATCAGGACCCAGCAGGCTCGGGTTGGGTATCCATGTTGACACCAGTAGGATTTCTGGACTGAGAAGATATTTTAGAGTTTGGTGAAGTCGAAGGAATTCAACTGTTTCCTACTCACCAGCACTGAGGTGCTCTTGAGCAAGAGTGCAGAGATAAATTAAGCTAATAAACTTTGCCATTAAACTTTTGTCAGCTAGCAGCAGCTAAAATGCTAAATCCATCATCATGAAACATATTTGTCAACAAACATAATCAATAAGAACAATGGAAAATAGACAATTTCATCAAAGGGAGGTATGGAAATTGATATTTATTAATACTTTTAATTCTTTGCTGTTGCCTAAATGATTGATTGTACTGTAAGTACTGTATACACTGTGGTAGATGAGCAAAATAATATTCTCTCTATCCTCTCACTCACAGACACACAAACACACACACACACAGTGTGGCAAGATGTCGCCTCACTGAGTACAATATTAGCATGTGTGGATAGATGGCTTTAGTACCGCAAGTCTGTCAAACATGATCCATTTACCCCATGGGTCTAATCCACGCAGCCTCGTTTCACACACACATGCACAGCACACACACATAGCATGCATACTTTGCAATTGTGGTTTTGTGACTGGTGGAGGGCAGACTCGTGGTGAGGTAGACGATCATGCTGATACCCATCTTTTATCATGGAACACACACACAACTACAGCTGCAACCAGCGGTGCTCATCTGTCTGCCTCGCATCAATGCTGGGATGTGTTAGTTTGTGTGCACGTGTCTCTTTATCACCATTAAAAACTTCCTGTTGTCGACTCCTCTGTGGTCTCATCTCTCTCTCTCTCTCTCTCCCTCCTGCCTCAGTCATGTCCCTCGTTTTCTTCCTTCCATCAGCAAGAGAAAAAAATGGAATCTTGTCCAGATAAAAACACGAAAACACACACAGGAACACACACATTCATGCGCGGAGGACAGATGTGATGATAAATCTCCCCGCTCTGGGGTCAGCTAGCGGTCGCTCTGTGTGTGTGTGAGAGAGTGAGTGAGAGAGTGAGTGAGTGGAGCCATACTGTATCTGTCTGGACATTAGTGGGCCAATTGAGAATTAATTGTTCTACTCTACTTACAAAGCTTTTTTCCAACTTCACCTCTTTTCTCTCACATTATTTCTCTTGTTGACCGAGTACAGAGCTGTGGAATGAGGGAGGGTGAGGATGTGTGTGTGAGTAAGTGTGTGTCTGGTTGGTGTTTAGGTGTGGTTTAAGTAGGAGAGTGTACACTTTTTAAAAAGCTGGAGGCAGATACTTGTGTGTATGTGCATTTTGTGTGTGTGTGTGTGTGCGCGTAAGGGGTGTGTTGTCTGTACAGCCACAACGCCTGCTCATCACCTCAGGCCCGCGGGCCTCTGGCTCCTTGGGTGGTCTGGCACGTAAGTGTGTGTCTGTGTATGAGTGTGTGCCTGCGTGTGTGTGTGTAGTGGTCTGGCAACCACGCAAGATCCAGATTGTACTCTGGGAAGAGCCCCAACCTAACCCCAACCCCCATCCCCTGCTCCAGTGCACCACCTTCAAATACTTAACCACAACACTGTACTGGCTTCTATTACACACACACACACACACACACACACACACACAGATGCCTTGCTTTTTCTCTACTCACTCAGTTTTTGTTTCGAAAGGAATTGAAAATGTGTTGAAAGGCATTTTGTCTTGAAGCCAGTTTATTCAGATTGAGTTGTTTTAAGGTACTTTTAAAGTTTAGATAATAAGTGGTACAATGACGGAGATGAAGAGACATTAATGGAGAAATACTTTTTACATTACATTAGATTTTTACCCCATGATTTGAGGTTTTGTCTAGAAAACCATTTGTCTTGTGTTTACCTTTGGCTCTCAGTGTTTTATTCTAATTTAACCACCTTTTTAAAGCCCCACCTTCTTTAAACTTTGTCCCACCAGACTTTTCTCCAGATCGTGTCACCTACTTTGTCTCCTCCATCATTTTCCATCATATAAAGACGACTACATCAACAGCCCAATCCCTCTCTTCGCTATTAGCAACTTTTTCCATCAAATAGCCTGATTTTCTTTCTGTTTTTCTTGCAGGCTGCAGTGGTTGTGGTGTTTAACTTTGCCATGGTGCTGCTCATCTTTCCTGCCATCCTCAGCATGGACCTCTACCGTCGAGAGGACAGACGTTTCGACATCTTCTGCTGCTTCTATAGGTGTGCACACACACAAACGCGTTTTTTCTTTTCATTCCTAATGAAAGTTATTGCGTTCTCCGTTCATTCATTAACCCTTTTCACGTTTTCTTCTGATCTCTGATCTAACATTGGATGATAACACAGTTATCTCTGCAATATCTTCAACTTGATCCCTCTCAGTCAAAACCTAATTACTGCTTAAGTTGTCTGTTTCTGTCTGGCTGCTCTGAAACAGACTTGTCTGTTTATCTGTCACAGTCTTTATTAAACTCCACCAGTCTGCCTGCCAGTCCGGGCATGCTCGCTGGCACAGCGACTGTACAGATGTGCACACACACTATTAATTTCCCTTGCCGGGTCTCTGCTCCATATTTCTTGCTGATGGCAGAGAGAAGAACAACAACACATTTTTTTAACAGATGCAGATGCAGTTCATCTTATAACTTCTGCAGAATACTATAACATTGAGAGTTCTGAACTATTTCACAAAACCTGATGATGTATGTGTGAATTTCCCCCCTGTTTAGTCTCAATGTATGTTCTGACAGTTCACGCTCTGACGCTTCTCCTCTGTCTTTATCTCTTCAGCCCATGTGCCAATCGTGTGATCCAGATTGAGCCTCAGGCATACCTGGATGGGGCGGACGGGAGTCGTTACAGTCCTCCCCCGTCCTATCGCACCCCACCTCCCACATATCGCACTCCTCCCCCAAGCTACAGTAGCCCTCCTCCCTCCTACAGCAGCCATGGCTTTGCCCAGCAGACTGAAATCACCATGCAGTCCACAGTGCAGCTAAGGACAGAGTATGACCCCCGAACTCAGGCCTTCTACACCACAGCCGAGCCCAGATCCCAGATCTCTGTGCAGCCCATCAGTACAGCTCAGACCAGGAGCAACCCAAGTGACTATTACTGCAGCAACACCAACGGCAACCGGAGCAGCAGCAGCAATCTCAACAACAACAATAGCGGGAGCCGGAGCAATGGTGGGTCCCGAGGTCCTGCCACCTTTCCCCATCATCACCCCGCACCTCCTCCTCCAGCCCAGGCTGCTAGCTCGCTTCATCAGTGCGATGTGGCCTCGTCAGCAGGTCAGAGCCCGGAGAACAACAGCTCCACACGGAACCTGTTGTCCCAGTTTGGAGAAGCCTCGCTGGGCCTGCACTGCCTCGAGCCTCCCTGCTCCCGCTGGACCCTGGCTTCTTTTGCTGAGAAGCACTATGCTCCGTTTCTCCTGCAGCCCACCACCAAGGTGAGTTCAGTTTCTGTGTGTGTTTGTAAAAAAGAGACATGGAGAACGAGCTTCTGTGTGAGTGCGTTTGTGCTGACTCACTGTGGTGATAATGTGAACAGGAGGGTTTGTCAGCAGAGCACATGAAGGAGCGAGAGAAAAACTGTGCTGGAAGTTGTGGTCATGTCCTATCTGAGTCACACACACACACACACACACAGTCGGACCTCAGTTTAGTGGGTGGCCAGTTCTCTCAAAGTCTTCCAGAACTGAAATCATGTGGTGGCCTGTGCTTGACTTTATTAATAAACCTTGGTTCCTTTTATCTCTCTGTCATATGTTTCTCCATTTATCCAAATTGCTTCATGCACTCCTCTGATGCCTTAATCCAGTACTCCCTATTATTGTGAATGAGTTAAGGAAAGAAATGTCTTTTTACAACCTGGGTCTTATTTTCTTACTTTTTTTGGGGGGGGGGGGTAATCATGGTAACTTTAGTACAACAACAATCTGTTGTGGGTCAACACACAGATGTGGTCAGCAGACAGTTTACAAACAAACAGACAGTATAAGTTACTTTATTATTTCAAATGTGCACCTCCTTTGTTTTGCCAAGTTTTGTGAGAAATTTCTCCAGTGCATCTTGTGGAATATTTTGCTAAAATGCACATCAGAGAATGCTTCCATATTTTTGCATGGTTTAAAGCAGTAATTGGTGCAAGTTGAAGATACCCTGCTATCATTGATGAATCTCCATTCTCATCCCTCTTTCTCTAGGTGGTGGTAATCATGCTCTTTCTCTGCCTGCTGGGCGTCAGTTTGTACGGGACCACCCAGGTGAGGGACGGCCTGGAGCTGACGGATATCGTGCCCAGGGAGACCAGCGAGTACGACTTCATCGGCGCCCAGTTCAAGTTCTTCTCCTTCTACAATATGTACGTGGTGACGCAGCGGACCGAATACGCCAAGAACCAGCCACTGCTGCACCAGCTCCACCGGAGGTTCCACACTGTCCGCTACGTGCTGAAGGAAGACAATGGGCAGCTGCCGCGCATGTGGCTTCACTACTTCAGGGACTGGCTGCAAGGTGAAATTAAACTTGATGTATGATTAGCATCCACAGACTTAAAGTGGACTTGGTCTCAACCTCTTTGTCTGTTTTTGACAATAAAGTGAGTCAGATGCAGCAACCTGACTCAGACACTGTCTTAGATCATTTGAATGTTGCTCAAATTCTGAAGTAAGAGATAGTTTTGTTATTAATACTTTGTTTGCTGCCGCTATTCAGAATCGTTCAGGAATGGAAATAATTTACTTTTAGTCTTGAAAAGGTTTTGAGATCATAATTTCCTTCAGTGTTTTGACATGAATCTGCAAGAAACAAGATGTTGGGCAGGGGTTCAGAAGTAGGTGGGATTGCAAAATGGACACTGACAGTAGCTGATTAAAATCACTTGTGTCTTCCATAAGAGGAGTTGATGGAGGAGGACGAAGTGGGAGGCCATGTTTTTATACTTAGGCTTTGGCAATACGGAGTGTGTGAGGGCGTTTGGCAGTGGAGATGGTTGCAGATGATGCTGGGATTGCACACTGGCACTGAAATACACCAAATACTGTTGTTTGTGCTGGCTACCTTCAACAAGGAGGCCATGTTTGTCTGTGTGTTAGTTTGAAGAATTACACAAAAACTACCAAACTATTTTCCTTGAAATTTAATAGAGGGGTGCAGCATGACCCAAGGAAGAAGACATTTAATTTTGAAGCGTATCTGAATGAGAACTTCTGGGCAAGATAAGGCATTTTGCGCATATCCAGTAACCAGCTATTCATTTAAAGGGGTGTGTGTGAGTGTGTCTGTGTGTGTGCGTGTGCTGGCTGGGAACCGCATGGAGCGTGTGTGGGTGAGAGACGGAGGTAGAGAAAGAACTGTGTCTGATATTGCTCTCTGCTATGGTGGGACAAATTGGAGCCAGACAGGCCAAGCAAGAGACCCATAACAACATCTCCCACAGACGGACCACAGCGTGGGCCTTGGGGGAAAGCCGAGAGAAGAGTGGGAGGGGCGGGGCTGATACACATATGGATTAGAGAGCAGTATAGAAATAGGAGACATGTGTTACTGATATATTCCCTAATGATTGCTTAGAATCAAAGGCAGCTTTAGGCTTTTGAAGTCTTGTTTCTTGGATTGAGAATTGAACTGCGTTATCATCCTCATCAATCAGGAATATTATAGGGTCGGTGTTAGGCAGTTACAGTGTTGTATTATGTTCTCCTGTACTGTGCTGGGTTATTATGTGTTTGTGTTTTGAACCAGGCTTTATCAGGGAGTTGCAGAGGATAAACAGGTTGTGGTTTCGTGCAGGTCTGCAGCAGGCGTTTGACAAGGACTGGGAGGCCGGCCGCATCACCCTCAACAGCTACAGGAATGGCTCTGAAGATGGCGTCCTGGCGTATAAGCTTTTGGTGCAGACAGGACGCAGAGAAAAGCCCCTCAACTTCAACCTGGTACGTTCAAGCTCATTTCAGTTTTTCCCATGTGATTCAATGTTAAGATACAGTATGTGAAAGTGTAGATAGGACATCTGAGGACAGACTTGTGATCATAGAGCAGCAAGGAATAAGGCAGAAAACACACTATACAAAATGTAAGAACGTACTCCACTAAAACAATACAAAATATAAGGTAAAAAAATACAGGAATGCACATAGTAAAGTCAATCACAAAGAGTGCCAGTGTGAAATTAGTTACCAATACTGTGCTGTTTAATTTGCTGCTTAGGAAGCCAGACACAGTAACGATAACAACAGCATGTGTAATGACACATGCATGTGCAGCAAGAGGTGCACTGCGATGGATATGTGTAAATTGAATGAAAGGAGGAAACACCTCAAACCTATCTAAGCACCTTAAAGGCAAGTCAAGCATCTGGATTTGTTCTGAGAATTCAGTGTGAGTTGAAAATGTTAAAGGGAAATGTAATTTCTGTGTTGGTCCATTGTGTAGCAGCCTCTTGTTTTTTCAATGTCTTTTTGGTTAGGTATCAAAAATCAGGGAGTTTCTAAGGTACTGGCACCTGCTACCAAATTCCTGGTTTTGTAACATCCAGTATATCTGTTTTGTTATGTGTGATCGGGGCTGAAAGAGCCAGCTCCAGCTTTAAAAACTGTCTCTTTGTATTCCTCTTCTTAGTCTTTCTTTTTCTCTATGTCTGTCTGTCTTCATCTTCTCTCAGTGATGACTTTACCGAACCCAGGAATTTAAAGCTCTCATCGGGGCTGCAGTCTGCCCCTGAAAAACCTATTAACTCTTCATTTAAACCATTTATCCTCTGTGCATGTGATGTGCATGTACGTGGGGGCCTTGCAGTGGCTCTCTCTCTTTAAGTGTCAAGCCTCTAAGTCTGACACTGTGTCTGTGACTCCAGCCATACTTCGTAGTACGTGAAGAAGGGAGGTTGAAATAAATACTGCACAACAGAGAAATTCATATAGACCCCAATGGGTTCATAAATTATTAGCTTGGATTCTGCAGCCCCATGGGAAATAATAATTTAAATTATTACAAAATGTTGCAACATATTTTCATTTGTTGCATATATTTGATAAATGATTAATTGTGGTCGATACATTTGAGCCGTTGATGTGAGCCCTGTCTCCAGTGGGGCGTTGGAGCCGTCTTTGACATCCAACAATAAAGGAAATTAGTGGAAGATCAAATCAAGTCTCTTCCATGTCAAGCGAAAGATGCCCCAAAAATAGAGAATGACAAAGAGCGTGGAAGAAATGAGAGAAAAAAAGAGAGAAGCTGATATGATGCTGTTTTTAGTTGGTTAAAATAACAGCATACATGAATGCATGGCTGCATTCTTTGGCAGGAAACAGCGGGAAAACAGAAGATAAGGAACTGGAGAATTATGAAAATAAGATTCTTGGATGGGATTTCTACACTTAACACAAAATAAACCACATTCCAGCAACAACAAGATTATTTTCCAGTAGGATAATGAACTTTGACATAACTCCACTGGGTCCTGTGTTTATTGATATTCAACATGTGTTGTTGTGTGTCGTGTTTGCATGTCGTCTTATTCATTGAGCTCCATTGCAGTTATCACACAGACTCTTCCCATCCCCTTCCACTAGCCTAACAGGAAGCAGAGGCAGACCTGGTGTGCGGCCCTCCGACATCACTTCCTGTGCATGTGAGGGAAGTGTATATGCCGTGAGGCGTGGGGGCCGCCAGCAGAGCTGCCTGGGCTTCCCGTGACAGCTTGAAGACATACAGTTGTTGCATATCCTGCTGTTAAATTCAATCCAGACCCTCTGGAATCCAGCTCTCTCTCGTGCTATCACTCTTGCTCTCTCTCTCTCTTCCTCCCTCCCTCGCCCTCCCTACGTGCTCCACTGCTGTGTCCTCTTTGAATGAGGGGAGCTCAAACACGTGGTTTCTTTTGAGGAAGCTCCATGTGTGCATGTGTATGTTTTGAGTGTGCGTTCTGCCTTTTCTCTGTTGTGTGTGCACTTACAGCAGTAGCTGTTTTGTTTTGTGCCTCGAAATGAGGACCAGATCTTTTCCAGACCTGGCAAATTGCAAAGCTAGATGTTTTATTTTGATATGCCACTCCACGGATCCATGCAGAGGTGGTCTGCCTTTTGATCTGTCGCTGCTAACATTTCTCCCTGTGCCGGGTGACCATTCGTTCCTTATGTCCCAGGCCAGGGTCTCATGTGGAAGCTGGTTCTCCATGTTAGTGCAAGCATGTGTGCTTTGAAAACAAGGCTACAGAAAGATAAAGATTCAGAGTGAATACAGGGGGTGAGTATGCAGGAAAGGAGGAGCTGGATGTTTGAAAAGTACTAAGGAGGGCCGCACTGACACTATCAAGGGCTCTTTTCTTCTCAGGTTTCAGGTCGGTCTGTGGCGCCTGGCATTCTGGGTACCCGTAGGGGTCAGGAGAAGCAAGTGTGAGCAACATTTGTACAGATGTTGTGTTATTTTTATAGCTCTACTCCATTTGCTGGGTGGCATTTCCTTCAGTGTTAACAACCAGGTTAACTGCACACAGACGTGCTCAGGGACTCCAGCCAATTTTTTTTATTGTTACGCTAACTCAAGCAATTTTTCTCCCCCAGCCCCCTACCCCTCCTCGTCGAAACCCCCACCCCTACTCCTTCCTTCATCTTCCTAGCCCCATGAGTCCAGCTGCACCCCCAAAACTCTCCCTGCCTCCGTGAAGAAGGGATTTATGGTTCCTAGAAGGGAGAGTGACAGAGCGGTGTGCTGTAATGGTTTTACCTCTCAGGAGGTAGCGATGCTAAGCTACGCTCCTCTGCCTCCACGCGGGAGGGTGGAAGTAGCGGCCCCGAGCGGGACAAACCATTCTTAGTCTACACAGGGACCACAGCAAATGAAACAGAGTTCGGGAACAATCTGTGCATAGACAGACACATGGGTTGACAGTTAAAACAGTCTAAGGGATTTCAGGTAGTATTGATGGAGGGAGTAAAGCTTTGACCGAGTCATGTCATATTTTGGGTGTCTACAGTCTCCAACCACACAGCTCTGTGCTGTACTTAGGCACAGAAGTCAACACACAAACATATTTGAACCCGCTGTTGGTAAATGAAAAGTAAAAGTATCCAAAAAATGATTGCCCTTGATCTTGATGCGAATTTGTATGTAAAAAAAATCATACAATCCATCAAAGAGTTGGATTTTCCATAATCATTGTTTTGATATATCACTTAAAACTACAAAAAATACACCTTATGTTACAAGAGGAAAGTTCGGGGGAACAAAGAGCTCAACGTTCATACCGCAGCGGAAGCACCAGCCAATCAAATCGCGTTTGAACAAACAGCCGCTAACTACTCAGATCACATTGATGTGTCAGTGGAGAAAGCTTGTGAACTTTGTGTTTTCTCCTGGTTGTGATTTTATTTCTCGTACAGTACTCTTTAGAGATGTATTTAGAGCTAGCATTAACAAGTTAGCTATGTTGTGACTGTTGTCGTTATGACAAATGCACCAGTCGGTCAGGCTGTTGAGAATGTTTTGACAAAATTTATGACAATCTATCTTATTGTTGAGATTGTTCGGTCTCAGTCTAGACCAACCATCAGACTGACATAATTAAAAACACATACAAAATTGATATCACATTCATTAAT